GAATAAACAATACTAAAAATTTATTTAGGAGTACAATTATATATACTTTGTACTTTAAAATAAATTTTCCCTCAATAGTATTGTTTATTTGAACATCAGTATATGAAACGTGTTAAAGTTCGCTCCCGCAATTTGCCATCGTAATGCTAATTAATTACTTCAGAGAAAAAGAAAATGAGATCTCGTAGGCCTCGACCCTCTGCCAGCAGGCAAGATTACGACTCAACTCCGGCGGAAGGGTTGCAGCCCCGGTGCTTGATTTTATTGCTCGCCATCCGACCTCTTCCCCTCACCGCCCCAAACCGCCCAGGATCCTCGTGCTTTCGCTCACCGTGCTGGGGATCCACTTTCTTTTTCCTCTTCTTTTTCTTCCTTTCGCCCGACTATGTCCCAACCTCCACTAGTGGAAAAGTTTCCTCTCTGTATCCGGTTATGTCCTGCGTTTTATATATCGCTTAAGGTCAAACTGACCTGCACAACGATGACCGAGAGAAAGCTCCTCGACCAGGGTCAAGATCGTTGCCCGATATTTCCGATATTACTACTCGTTTCCGCAAAGAGAACTTGAAACTTATATGACTAACATAAAGTTAAAGACAAAATTTAGATACTCCGTTCAATCTAGTAATATTAAAAAGAATATTTCTGTTCGATGATGAAATTAATTTATGCAAATTATTTCAATATAATTTTTAAAAAATATGAAATGATATGGATATTATTAATTTTATTTATAGTGCCTGTTAAACAAGTTATGCAATTACACTTTTCTTAAGGCAATACCTATCTATTTTCAGATTAATGCGCCCAATCGCCCTATAAGAGCGTTCTTTGCACATCTCTTTGTGTCTTTAAGCCTTGCTTTTACGTTCGAGTTAACATGTTCCCATGTAAACGCACTCTCCCTAAGCTAAGAAAAAAGTGCAGATTGAGGCCAAATATTAATTATTAATAATTTGAAATTAGTGTTAATGATCGTTATTATTATGTCACTGTTTAGAATTAAACAACTTTACGTATTTTTTTATAAATTATTGGAAGTGGAAAGTATTAAACTGCAACGTATATATATTTATTTAAAAAATTATGAGTATTTAGAAATGCTATTTAGACTGATGCTTTGATCTTCTGAACATGTATCTTATATTATATATACTTGTAAGCAATCTATGTAAAAGGTCAACAATGGAATGAAATTTCTCTTCACTATTAATCATCATTAGTATAACTACATACATCATAAGACAATAAAAGGATAGGAGATGACAAAAGAAAAAAGTTTTATATTATATAAAATATATGAAAAATGTATAAATAAATATCTGATTTTAACATATAAATTATACATGCGGTTTTCTTATATTTACTATTTCTTATATTATTTTTTTATTTATAAGAATCCAAAGCAGAAGTATAGAAGACAAATATATAATTTATAAGATTTATCTCAAATACTTCGTATTTAAAGCGAACAACT